TCAGGAGGTGATGGAGCAGGCAGAACTAGGAAATAGTCTGAGGAATTTTCCTCTCTTCTGAGCTCTCTGGGGCAAGATAAGATGTTTGGCTCACCTTGAAAACATTTTCTTTGGCAAAATGAAGGATCATGTGTCTCCTCTCTCGTGTAGTATTGGTGGCATCAAAAACCTGATAAGGAGGGACAAGGGCCGGGATAAAAAAATCCAAGTTTGAGTTTAACTATATTTACCAAAACTACCAAGCAAGTCAGACCTGTCATTCCCAGGAATAAGCCCTAACACATGCTTCCAGGAGAGACTGTGCCCTCCAGTGCCCACAGCACTCAGGGATGGGGGGAGGGGTGGAAGAGTCCCAGAGAACACACAAACACGTCAGGGCGGAGGTCCACCTGGAGGGGCCACCAGCTACCATAGCAGCAACCCAGGTCCTGCCTGCCTGGGAGGTGGGAGACAGAGCACACCCTGACTATGTCCCTGACTCCACCCCACAACCACCTCCCCGAGTCACTGGGCTGCTCCAGCACCTGCTCCCCTCAACCCTCAGCAGAGAGGCACTTGTGCCGGTTTGCGGCATCCCCGCGGTAGCTCAGGCCAGTGACCCACCATCCTGCTCTGTTCCCCAGACTTACTGCAATTTGTCCCCCTTCCTTTGTCAGGTAACTTTTGACATCTCTCAAGGCAGCTAAGGCACACTGCCTGCAACACACAACAAAGACAAGGCACACATCAGCATGGCCCACCCACCAGGGGAGACCTGGCAACCCCTGGCAGGTGCCCCAGAACGCAGCACAACGACCGGGCTATAGTATTTCTGATCTGCTCAGCACCCAGCCCTTCCTGCAGCCCAGAGGCTTCCAATCTGAGGCCCAGGCACCCTCAGGGGTGGTCTCATGCCTGGCTGCACCCTGGAATCATTCCCCTGGGGAGCTGTGAAAAAACAGACACCCAGAGCCCACCCACAGGCTCTCACTGAGCTGGCCTGGGCAGGGCCTGGCATCAGATCTTTACAAGCTCCCCAGGGGATTTTCCCAGGAGTCAGGGTGGAGCACTTTTGCACTAGGATTTCATGATCACTGTGCTAAAAAGGAAATGCTCTGCAAATGTAAACAGATGACTTCCCATGAAAAGGACCCTGTTTCCTTTCAAAGAGATGTGACTGCTACCGCCCTGTCTCACATCAGCTGAGCTAGACCATCTGGAACAGATCAAAGAGTCTCAGAGAGGCTGAGAGGCATGTCCTAACACCAGCCAGAGCGGACGGCCACCGGCGGAGAGCCACGCACAGGCCCCTCTGTCCCTCCCGCACAAGCGCTTAGCAGCATGCGGGCGGCTCACGCGTACTTTCGGACTCTCATGGCCTCCTCGTTGTCGGGGCGGAAGAAGCTGTAGGAGCTGTACTGCCTCACGGCCTCGCGGCGGTATTCCCCCACGTTGAACACTGCACATCAGGAAAAGAAACAAAGCCAAGGTCAGGGGCACTGCTCTGGGCACAGTGGGAGCAGACAGGTGAAAGCCAGCCCCACCCTCAAGACACTGCCCATCTAGGGAAAAGACCAAGCAGAGATTCATAAAAGTGTCCTCGAGGGCACGGAGCACTTTGGAACAGTCATAGAGGAGGATTACAACTAAGCACGATGTAAAGGAAACAGGTCCACACCAATTGAGGTGGCCAGAGTTCGCCGGGGAGAGAACCACCCCAACATAAAAGGAAGGGTGTGGATCCAGCATGGTGGGGACACAGCTGGGTGGGAAGCAGGATCGACTCCACCACCAGGGGACAGACCCGCCCAGGAGAGTCCTGCCTGTGAGCGCCAGTAGCCAGAGATGGAAGGTCAGGTTTGTGCGGATGCAGGGGACCAGCCAGCAGGGTCGTAGCACCCAGCAGACTCCCCCAGCCTTGCCTTTTGTTGGGACACCAATCCAGTTGAGGTAGCGGGTCAACTTCTTGGAGATGTATGTCTTGCCCCGGGCAGGGAGGCCCACCATGACGATCACCGTGGGGGAATTGGTCAGCTTTGGCCCACAGGCTGCAAGAAACAACCAAGAGAGCTGTCACTGACCAAAGGATGAACAGAGTCTACACCCAACAACACACTTTAAAGAATCTCACCAAAATTTTTTGGTCATTCCCCATCCCAAAGCCCCTGGCTTTTTTTTTTTTTTTTTTCCTTTTTGTCTTTTTTCGTGACCGGCAACAGATCGCAACCCTCAGTGTTGCGCCCGTACCGGACCGGGACTGGCCACGGGATCGCAACCCTCGGTGTTGCTCCCGCACCTTGCTCAGCCAGTGAGCGGTCGGTCTGTATGTGGGATCCGAACCCTCGGCGGGAGCGCCGCCAAGCTTCCCAAGTGGCCGGCCGCATTTTATAATCCAGTGGGACCAGGGCCCCCTAGTGGCCAGAGTCCTCCAGTCACACCTTGCCACTCAAGCTTGCTGGCAAAGATGGTCTCACAGTAACTGACTGCATGTTATCAAATGGCTAGAAGAGAGGAGGTCAAAGGTCCATGTCCCAAAGAAATGATTAAAGTTTGCAATGATGAATATGCTAATTACCCTGATTTGATCATCATACATTATATACATCTATTGAAATGTACCTTCGTACCCCATCAATATGTATAATCAATACACTTCAATTAACAAAAAGATTACTGATGGGAAAAGTTAATTAATTAATTTTTTAAAAACACCCAATTCCCAAACGGATACCAAGGGCCCTAAACGCAGCCAGGGATCTCAGTTACTAACACCACAGTGGAAGCTCGCTCCTCCACAGGGTGTCAGGAAGGGGCTCCTAGCACCAGGGAGGGTGAAGTTAACAGCAGGGACAGGTGGTTCCCACATGCAGCACATAAACTGAGGGGCAGGGGGAGTGGGACAGGGCAGGTGGGCCCCAGTGACCCAAACAGAGAGAAGCTGGCCATTAATTCTCTAACCTTCACTCAGGAGGTCTGGACAGCCTTTCTTTTTTTTGTGTGACCGGCCGCACTGAGCTCACTCCGGCCATTCCTATATAGGATCCGAACCCGCGGCGGGAGCGCTACTGCGCTCCCAGCGCCGCACTCTCCTGAGTGCGCCACGGGCTCGGCCCCTGGACAGCCTTTCTAAACAACAACAGAAAATTTTAAAGAGTTTATCAAATGGAAGTAGGTCAGAAACCCAGAATGCTGCCCCTTCCCCCGGGACAGGTAAATCCCCCCCATCCTTCAGACTCTAATGCCCTTTCTTGACAACTCCGCCTCCCCTTCAGCTGCCAGGTCCTGATGGATGCCAGGGCCCTGCCGAGGGAATGACCGGTTGCTAAGCCCCAAGCAGGGGCCAGCTTCACCCAGAAATGCTCCTCAGTTCTGCTGCTGAGTGACTGTCCCTGTGCTCAGAATCTCAATAAGACAAAACGCCAGGGAGGGAGGCTTTTGCTGGATTTTCAGAAAGCAGCTGAAAAGAGCCAGTTCTGGAAACCGAAGGCCCAGTGTTTCCTGGGCTGTCATCTTGCCCTAGACTCTTGGGCAACTCCTGCATCCTAGTAACAAGAAGCTGCCAGCCAGAGGCCGCTGCCAACTCCAGCCGGGCAGTGCAGCCACACTTGCTGGCTGGCTCAGCAGGCCCCATGTCCTCATCACCTCCCGGGCACAGGCCACAGGGCTTACAGGGAAAGCTCTGACAGCTATGCCACAGTCCAGGCAGATGTCCAATTTAGACAGAGGCTCTGATACACAGGCAAGCCTAGGCTGGTGAGTGCCAGTGTAGGGAGGAAGGACAGCCACCACCCTGCGGACAGGGCATCCCAACGCGGTCCCACACTGAGGTCGATGCCCAAACACCCACTGTGATTCTAGACCTGCATCCTAGACCTGGCAGCTGGGGCTTTCCTTCCTTCCTAATATCTGTGAACCATTAGTGACCCTCCCAGCACGCAGAGTGAGGAAGAAGAAAGGCTATCAGGGGATCAGGAGCCACAGAAAGCCCTTGGCATTTCTGCAGCTTCCAGCAGCCTGGAACAAACAGGTTCCTAGAAAACAGAAGGCTCTCACTGCCCAGGTGAGCCAGGAGCGATAAACACAGCCTGGAGCATGGCAGAGAGATGGCAGTCTCCCTGCTAGCCAGTGGGACAGAAGACACCCCATGTCTGAGGTTGTTCTGGCAGCCTCAGTTGACACATCAGAAAAGTGGCAGCCCCCGCTGACATATCTCACTTGTGCCTGAAATGGTACCCTCCCACGGACCCTTCCCTCAGCCAGTGGTACCCCCAACCCATTCTCATCATGTGTCCCCACTACACCACTGTTCCTAAGAGCATCCAGACATGCCCAGAGACAGACAGACACACACACACTCAGCTGTGTACATGCACGGGACACTTCTGTTGAAACCATGCCAAGAAAGCAGAGGCAGAAGCTGACTGGTTTATCACAGCGGGGATTATGTCTATACACTAATCATGGGAACTAATCTCCTCTGGCAGTAGTCACTTTGTGAGGGAAAAAACAAAACTGTAAAGACACAGCAGGGTAAATACTGTAAGGCAAAAGTTGAGGGTGAATTTCAAACCCAAATAAACCATCACTCCCTTAATGGGCAAAGCAGAAGCCACTTATGGAAGGAATCAGCCAGGGAGATGGTTAAACCCCACCTGGACAGTGCCTGTCCCTATCAAAGCTGGCTGAAAGGCCGGCACCCCAGATGGCAGCTCTAGCTCTCCTCCCTAGATTAAGTGGCTAGCTTGATAACATGCAGTGCACGACAGATAGAGGCCTGTGACAGCTGCCCTCATCCACCCAGATGCATTCTAGAACAGACTGCTGGAAAGACCCTGTGCTGCAGCTCCCGCACCTCCTGGACCCTTCAGGGCTGGCCAGTCAGTACACTCGGTTAGAGTGTGGTGCTGGTAACACCAAGGTCAAGGGTTTGGATCCCCTCACCAGCCAGCTGCCAAATATATATATACACACACACACACGTATATGCTAAGTCATTTCTGTCCTTTTCTAGAAGTAGGTGAGTTATGCTTCAATTACAAGTTCAGGGGAAGAAATGGAAGGGGCTGTTTATGATGAACAGAGAGCCGCAAACCAAGAAGTCACCCAGCTGCACAGCCGTCAGAGGGAATGGAGAGAGCGCCTGGGCAGTGACCACCTTGACCTCCTCCCACCAGGTGAGGGCAAATCACCGCTGTGCAAAAAGACCTCCTTTGTTTAGTAATAAAATAAGCCTCAGAGGACCCTGCTGTCTACCTCCATTGAGAAGAGCACTCATAAAGATGGTAACAGGTTTAGGAGAAATAAAACCCCAGTGTTCCAAATGCCATTAGAGAAGGAAGGGTAGGGTATAGGGAAAGATGCCAAGAAGAAATGCCCTCTTTTCTCCTTTCCAGTAAGAGACAAATGAGAATATAAACGGAGAAAGACACCACTATTTGACATAAGGATGTGTAATAAATATCCAGGCTGCAGATATTTTTATAGGAAGGAATGTGTCGGAGACTGCACCCCAGAGCCATACAGAATGATTCCAGGAGCAGGCAGGAGGAGAGACTTAATTCCTCAGCTTTGGACCCCCGCCCCCAAGCTCTGAATGGTTTCACAGGGATTCCTAGGCAAATCTCTCAGCTGCGTGCGCGACGTGCAGACTGAAGGAGTCTAATGGATCGGTTTCCAAAGCCTGGAGGAAGGATGCATCGAGCACGCTGGTGTCTCTCAAAATCACCACCGAACTGAGGCCAACCAATCTCAGTGTCCTCCCTGAAACTCTGGACATCCCTCCCAGACCCGAACCTCGGGGCAACTAAGCATGCGTGTGCACGCGCGCACACACACACACACACACACACACACACACAATATCATACATATGTACACACTAGTATATATAATACCAATCCATATTTGTGGGACCAAGAGCAGTTTACAAAGTGTAATTTTTTTACTCAAAAGTCAAAAAGGGGTGGGGGCTGCTTCTGCATCTTCCTGGGACAAATCTTGCCGGGGGTTTAAGGAGCTACATCCCACACCACCAACAGGTTTTATAAGAAGACAAGCCCTGCCCAGAAGGGAGAATAAGACATCTCCTGAGGACTTAACCCCAAACCCTCAGGCCCAGCAGAGTGGACCTGCTGGTGTACCCGCCCAGAGCGCACCACGGAGAGACTCTGCCCTTCTCCCTGGGCAGGTCTGGGCGGGAAGGCCATGATTCAGACCCGGCAAAGCTCCAGGCCAGCTTCAAGTCCGGCTCCCGAGAAACGTGGCAGTGGAGAGGCCCAGCCAGCCTGGCGCGCTCAGGTGTCCTGGGATGACTGGAGCCTCGAGGGTCTGCCCCTGAATCCCACGGTTACCTCTAATGCTATCGACCTGGCCTGTGCAAAACGCCCACCGGGCAGCTCGCCCCTGTCCACCCTATGGGCTCCGGGGCGCGTCACCTTGAGGGGCGGCTCTTTGCAGCTGGGGATGGTGCCCAAAGGAACCCGCTCCAAAACCCTTACGGAGGGCGACAGGCGGGGCGGGGAGAACTGCCAGCAAATTCCGAGCACGGGCGAGTGTGTGTGCGCGTGTGCATGTGCATGCCTGAAACACCGAAACCGTGCAGTCACCAACCCATGGACCCTCCCCAAAACCAGGGGCAAAGGCTTGGTTCCAGGTGGTTCTCCTGGCGCCTCTAGCACGAGCGTCCCCAACGTCGCTGGAAGGGGGAAAGAGAGAGATGGGAAGAGAGCGGCAGGAAATTGGGGAAAGAGAAGTAAAAGGAGAGAGTGAAATAGAGCGGGAGAGAGAGGAGGAGGGAGACAGAAGCAGACAGGAGGGCGGACAGCGACCACCAGGAGACGGAGGAGAGGAGAAGGGGCGGGGGCTGGGGGCCGTGCCGGGCGCGCGCTCACCGCCGTCTCGGCGCCCGCAGCGGAGACCGGGGCGCTCTCGGCGTTTCCGGAGTCGGCAGGGCAGCCACGGCGGCCG